AGACTATAGTGCCCCTGATACTTGCTAAAATGATAAGGGCTTTATCCGTATGCGTCGACGGTAAGAGATATTTTGAGGGCTGTAATCTTTTGTTACAACTATGGGCTGCCGAACACTTCTACTAAAGAGAGGACATGATAGACATCTTGGACGACATGGGAAGCAAAATCTTTACTCACCCCACAAGAATGTTGCATTTCTCCGCCAAGTGGGAACGAAAGATTGGTTTAGGTATCTAAGAGGGAGGTCTGGTAATCAAATCCAATTGAAGAATCACTGGTTAGGGTTTCGTCGCGCCATGGTTAGAGGACATGAGCTCTATTTCATCGAGCTTATTGGACTAAATGGAGTTCAACCATATGCACCACTCCGAGCCCTCAACCAATTTGGACAAGTCTAAATGATACATTTACGATCCTATATGGGTCATTATAGGTATGATTTTGGGCCAGAAACACCACAAGTTGACACCATACTACAAAGGTGGAAAGGAGTGAGAACCATCAACATCAGAGAAGATAGACCTACTGCAAACCCGAGTATTAAGTATGGATCTTGGAGGATGCTGAACATAGGGACTTAAGCGAATGAGGCCTTCCTGGTTTTGGTGACGAGATGGAAAGAATATGGGCTCACAACCTTCTGAACAATGATTATGACGTGACCCCAGAAATGATGGAGCAAATTGCACCAAACATTGGAGACCACTATGATTGAAGTTTTTTTTTAGTATTTCTATTTTGCCTATTTGTTATCCCTAGTCCTTTAGATTATTTCTAGTTTTGCTTTAGTTTGATGTAATAATTTGAAATTATTCAATAAAGATCATTTTTTTCTTTATTTCTCTAACTCTAAGCTCCAAATTGGAAAATAAGGCTTGAATTAGTTATTATGCATCACTTATATGTCGTCTTAGGCCTACCTCTGGCTCAATGAGGTCCCTTGCATTTAGGACGCTTATTTCAAACAATGTGCTATTATTATTATTATCTGCTCTAATCTGCTAACACTGTTTTTTGTCGATTCCATTGTTTTTCCCATTTCTAAGGTTGATCTATCCTTCATTCTGGCACATACACGATCAAAAGGGACCCCCTTTCTCCTCCTCCTCAAAGAACAGACTACAGAGACAAGGGTAAAATGGTTGACAACAACAACAGCAATAAGAGAGTAGAAACTTCTGAGGGAGGGCAACTTCCAAGTGACCTCGTCCTTAGACTTGAGCGCAAGATTTTATATTTGAAAGAAGAAGTAGTGCATATGCATGATTTGGCCAAGTTGTCTATTTCTCTCGGAACCCAGTTTGGCGAAAATATAGACAATCCTCCTCACTTTAACCAAACAACCATGCCAAACAATCCTCCAACCAATGTATCCCGACCTGAACCCACCCATCCAAATATCTTCCCACCACTTCATGCCCAAAATACCCAAATCTCATTTTTCCACTACTACTAACAAACTAAACCAACCATTCCAGAACCAATTCCAAATGCAAACCCTTCATATACTTCCAGAAATAACAACCTCAACCCCATATATGTGGAAACCGCTCCCGTGACCCATAATTACTATGAATCAGAGCCCTCCCAAAAGGACATTCTGATAAAAAACCTGACCGAGAGATTAGATAGCTTGGCCAACAGGGTGCAACATGTGGAGGGAAGCAAGAGGTTGGGAGGACTAAGCTATGAGGATTTGTGTATACACCCCGACGTAGAACTGCCTGAAGGGTACAAGCTTCCAAAGTTTGAAATGTTTAATGGCATTGGAGATCCCAAAGCCCACCTGCGAATGTACTGTGACAAGCTTGTAGGGGTGGGAGGGAGATGAGAGGGTACTCATGAAGTTGTTTATGAGGAGTCTCACCGAGGAGGCTCTATCATGATATATTGAACAAGACCCTCGAAAGTGGGTTGAGTGGGTGGACATGGCAACAAACTTCAGGAATAGATTTGGATTTAATGTAGAAAATGCACCTGACTGGTTCTACATCCAAAACCTGAAGAAAAAGCCCATTGAATCCTTTCAGGATTACGTTATTAGATGGAGGTTTGAGGCGGCTAGGGCCAGACCTCCCATGGAAGAATTATAAATCAAAGACTACTTCATCGTGCCCAAGAACCACAATATTATGACAGGATGATGCTTGTAGCTGAGAAGAGCTTCGCTGAAATTATCAAATTAGGCGAAAGAATTGAAGAAGGCATAAAAAATGGGACCATCATTAACCTAGAGGCCCTACAAGCCACCAACAAAGCTCTGCAATCCGAGGGAATGACAGAAAATTAGAAGAAAACAGGCTCAGTCATGATGGCTCAGGGAACCAGAAGCCCTTATAAGTACCAATCAACAACCCCACCTCCATCTCCATATCCCTATACTCCATATCCTTCAGCTCCACCACCTATATCTCTCAACCCCATGCCAATATATTACCTAAATGCTCCTCCTCAATATCAACAAACTTCATATCCTGTTTATAATGCCCAACCAACATACTTCCAAACTCCACCACCCACTCAAACACGGAACTACCGAAACAGACCTCTATATGAAAGAAGACCTGCAAAAAACTATACCCCTCTGGCTAAGCCCATAACCCAACTTTAATGAGAGACTGAAAGAGACTGACTATGTCACCCCAGTTCCTGCATTGCCTGTGGATGTCCACACAAAATTATATGACCCTAACAAGGTTTGTGCCTACCATTCTGGGATGAAAGGTCACACTACCGAAGTTTGCAGAGCCCTGAAAGATAAGGTTCAAATGCTGATTGATACTAAGGCCATCAACCTCAAGGATCCAGCACCAAATGTTGCAAACAACCCTCTGCCTAACCATCAGGTCAACATGGTAGAAGTTTATGATACCTCGAATTGGGAGAAATCCATCTGGGTCCTTGAGCCAGAAGAATCAATAACTGTTACCACCCAGACTCCAATGGTAGTGCAAAGGCGTGCTCCGTTTGAGGTTGAGGTTGACATGCCCAAGCCCCCATTCAACTTCCTCAGAGCTCATCCTCGTCCCTAATTTGATACCTATGCTATCCCATGGGATTATGGAAAGGGAAAGACGAAAGTGGAAGAAGCAGACACTGCAGCAAGAATGACTAAATCTGGAAGAATATACACTTTCGAAAATTTGGTTCAAGGTAGCTCCAGCAAGTCCAAGGCACCAATTGTAGAGCTTAAAGATAATGGTATCTGGAAGAAGGCACAAGCTAAAGAGTACTCTACTGTTGATCAATTGAGTAAAACCTCGTCCCAAATATCAATCTTGTCATAGCTGCAATCTTTTGAAACTTATCGGAACACTCTATTGAAGGTCATGGGTGAAGCCTATGTCCCATCTAGCATCACTCATGGAGAGGAGGCCCAAATGGTCCAGCAGGTTTTTGAGGCATACCGAATATCTTTTCATGAATATGAGTTGCCACTTGAAGGAACAACCAACAATAAGGCTTTATACATTTCAGCTCAATATCAGGACAAGATAATCACCAAAGCCTTGGTTGATTCAGGCTCCGATTTGAATATCTGCCCTTTGAGCACATTGACAAGGCTAGGCGTGGATAGTGGAAAGATCCAAACTTGGAAGATGAATGCGAGAGCTTTTGATGGCTCTCAGAGGGGTACTATTGGGGAAATAACCTTGGACATGCTCATTGGTCCTGCTACTTTCCCAATAGCTTTCCAGTACTTGGATATTCCATCCTCATATAACTTATTGCTTGGTCGTCCTTGGATTCATATAGCTGGAGTAGTTCCCTCTACTCTTCATCAATGCTTAAAGTTTGAATGGGATCACAAAGAGGTTGTAGTCCATGGGGAAAAGGGACATCATGTATATGCGATAGAAGGAAGGGGTTATCTAGACAGTGAGATGTACCATACAGTTGAGCTTGTTGGCAACATTGAAGTGCAACCTTGGTTTAGCAAGAAGATCATAGATTTGATGGCCTGGTTTGGTTTTGAGCTCGGGAAAGGTTTGTGAGCCAATCTACAAGGAATAGTTGAACCTATACAACCCGTTCGTCATTCAACCACTTTAGGCTTGGGATACAAATATACTACTGAGGAGTGGCTTGATTGACATCCACCTAGAGATGGGTAATACTATCCATTGAAGAAACCCATACCACCATTGCATTAATCATTTCGATCGGTAGGTTTCATGGGTGACATCATTGATGAGGTTCTAGAAGACATGTAAAGTTTGTATTTGACCAAAGATGAAGGAAAAGGCTGCAATGTCGTGATCAACGAGGACGAGAAAGGGGACCCTAGATGAAACAGTGAAGCGAAGATCAACATCAACATTTGGACCTCAACTCCATCCAGAGCTCGTCGGGCATCTGGGTAGCATTGGAAGAAGTTTTCCTATCAAATTTTAAAAGTTTTCAATAAACAGTTTTAAATTCCAATTCTCTATTATTGTTTTCAAATGCTAGTATTATGAAACTCTTGAATTTAATCAATAAAGTTCTTTTCCCATCTATTTAATATCTTATATTTATTTGTGCGTCATTATTTCTTCCAGCAAAATCTGTTACAAAAATGTTGAATCTGAGACTATGGCATATAATTAGATTGCACAGCTTAACATTAATGACTTAGAGGAAGTCGAAGAAAGTGAGGTCCCTAAAGAGTTAATCAGAAAGGTTGAGGAATTCAAGGAAAAGCCCAACTCGAATTTAGTGGAAATAGATGTGGTAAATCTGGGGTATTCAGAAGTGGTACAAGAGACCCGAGTAAGCATCCATATGATGGAAGATGACAAGAAAGAGTATACAGAGTGTCTCATGGAGAATAAATATATCTTCACCTGGTCCTATGCAGACATGACATGGTTAAACACTTCAATCGTAGCTCATCGATTGCCTACTGATCTAACATGTCCTCCTGTGAAGCAGAAGCTGAGAAAATACAAGGCTTAGTTGAGTTTGAAAATCAAGGAAGAAATATCAAAGCAATTGGATGCTGGAATCCTTCAAGTGATGGAGTACCCAACCTGGCTTGCAAATGTCGTTCCAGTCCCTAAGAAAGACGAAAATGTTAAAGTTTGTGTAGATTATCGGGATCTCAAAAAAGCTAGTCCCAAAGATAATTTTCCATTGCCTAACATACACATCTTGATTGATAACTGTGCTAAGCATGAAACACAATCGTTCGTGGATTGCTTTGTCGGCTATCATCAAATTGAGATGCACAAGGACGATGCTGAGAAGACTGCATTCATCACACCGTGGGGTGTTTACAACTACAAGGTAATGCCTTTCGGGTTAAAGAATGTTGGCGCTACATACATGAGGGCAATGACCACCCTGTTTCACGACATGATCCACAAGGAAATTGAAGTTTATATGGATAATGTCATCATCAAATCAAAGAAGGGTTCAAATCATCTAAATGATCTGCGAAAGTTCTTTGCCAGGCTACGCAAGTATAACTTGAAGTTAAATCCCGAAAAATGTGTCTTTGGGGTTCCTGTTGGAAAGCTTCTGGGTTTCATTGTCAGCCGTCGGGGTATAGAACTGGATCCATCGAAAATCAAAGCCATTAGTGATCTACCTCCGCTGAACAGTAAGAAAGAGGTAATGAATTTCCTGGGTCAACTAAATTACATTAGTCGTTTCATAGCCCAATCTACTGTCATTTGTGAGCCTATCTTCAAGCTGTTGAAGAAGGATGCTGCGGTGAAATAGACAGATGAATGTCAACAGGCGTTTGACAAAATCAAAGATTACTTGTCCAATCCACCTGTGTTGGTTCCACCAAAATCTGGTAGACCACTGTTGTTATACATATTAGTGTTGGATAATGCTTTCAGCTGCATTTTGGGACAACATGATATGACTGGAAAGAAGGAGCAGGCGATATATTACATGAGTAAGAAGTTTACATCATATGAAGCTCGATACTCTCTATTGGAGCGTACCTATTGTGCTGTAACTTGGGTCGCCCAGTAGCTGCGACACTACCTCTCCTCACATACTACTTATCTAATTTCAAGGATGAATCCTCTGAAGTATATCTTTCAAAAGACCATGCCTACATGTAAACTGGCTAAATGACAGATATTACTGAGCGAGTTTGACATAGTGTATGTTACACAAAAAGAAGTGAAGGCACAGACGTTAGCAGATCATATGGCGGAGAACCCTATAGATGATGATTATAGACCGTTGAAGACTTACTTCCCAGACGAAGAAGTAGCTTTTGAAGGGGAAGACATTTCTGAAGAATATGATGGTTGGAGGATGTTCTTTGATAGAGCTAAGAAGTTGAGCGGATCCGACATTGGAGTTGTTTTGATCTCACCAACTAGGCAACATTATCCGGTATCAGCCAAACTTAGGTTCCTCTGCTAAAATAATATGGCTGGTTATGAAGCTTGCATATTGGGGCTCCGACGCGCTATCGACTTAGATATATAGGAAATGTTGATAATAAGAGATTCAGACCTATTGATTCATCAGGTCCGAGGTGAATGGGCTACCAAGAATCGGAAGTTGTTACCATACTTAGAGTGTGTGCATAGGTTGTGCAAAAGGTTCATCAAGGCAGAATTCAAACATATGCTAAGGATCCAGAATGAATTCGCAGATGCCTTAGCCACATTGTCTTCCGTGATTCAACATCCTGATCATAATTACATTGATCCTATTTACATCCATATATACGAGCAACCATCATACTGTTTTCATGTTGAGGAAGGACCTGATGGAAAACCTTGGTACAATGACATTCGAGGATATTTGAAGAGCGGTGAGTATACAGAGGATGCAACAAGTGTACAAAAGCGTACAATTCGGAGGTTAGTAAATCAATTCTTCCTAAGTGGAGAAATCCTTTATAGGAGGACTCCCGACTTGGGGTTGCTAAGGTGCGTCGAAGCTGGAGAAGCTAGTGGACCGATTGAAGAGATATATGCAGGAACATGTGGTCCTGACATGAATGGTTTTACATTGGCCAAAAAGATCCTGAGATCGGGATATTTCTGGCTAACTATGGAGACAGACTGTATTCACTATGTTAAAAAATGTCACCAATGTCAGACTCATGTAGATATGATTCGAGTTCCTCCCAACGAAATCTATGTTACTAGTTCACCTTGGCTTTTTGCAGCTTGGGGCATGGACGTTATTGGTCCAATCGAGCCAGCGACATTCAATGTACATAGATTCATTCTGGTTGCAATTGACTACTTCACCAAATGGGTCGAAGCCACATCTCACAAATCAGTGACAAAGAAGGTTGTGGATGATTTTGTCAAAAATAATATTATCTGTAGGTTCGGAATTCCTGAGTCAATCATCACTGATAATGGAACCAACATAAATAGTGATTTGATGAGATCATTGTGTGAGAAATTCAAGATCAGTCATCGAAATTCTACAATATATAGACCACAAATGAATGAAGTTGTTGAGGCTCCAAACAAGAACATCAAGAGGATATTACGCAAAATTGTCGACAATCATAGACACTGGCATGAAAAGCTATCATTTGCATTGCTAGGATATCGTACCACCATCAGAACTTCTACTGGGGCTACACCTTATTTTCTGGTATATGGTAATGAAGCTGTGATACCTGCTGAAGTAGAGATACCATCTCTAAGGATTATTCAGGAAGCGGAGTTGAGTGATGCTAAATGGATACAAGTTCGGGCGGAGAATCTGACATTAATAGATGGAAGAAGAATTAGCGCCATTTCTCATGGTCAACTCTATCAATAGAATGGCCAGAGTTTTTAATAAGAAAGTTAGACCAAGACACTTCTCACCTGGTCAACTGGTTTTGAAGCGGATTTTCCCAAATCAAGATGAAGCAAAGGGTAAATTCTCACCAAACTGGCAAGGCCCATACATAGTCTCTCGGGTATTGACAGGCGGAGCCCTCATACTTGCAGAAATGGATGGAGAAGTTTGGCCCAAACCTATCAACTCAGATGCTGTGAAGAGATATTACATCTAAGTTTGTTTCAGGCTCTCTTACTCTGTATTTTGGAACTACGTCAGACCTGATTCCCTTTTAAGAGGGGATACGTAGGCGCTCCTATGGAGTTCGGTCTTTATCCTAATAAAAATTTCTTTTTCCTCTTTTACTGTGTAACTGGGGCAGAATTTTTGAGAGGGTCTCAAAAATTCCATCAGAAGGAAATTTTCCTGCAAGTGATGACACTGGGGCAGAATTTTTGAGAGGGTCTCAAAAATTTCTTCAAATGAGCATTTTCTGCACAAATCAAGACTGGGGCAGAATTTTTGAGAGGATCTCAAAAATTCACAGCAATCAAGCTATAATCTTCAACAAAGATCAGATAACAGATTTGCTATTGAGTCAGATGTTGTAAAGTCTCAAACTGTGCAATGGTCAAAGATTCAACATTACTTTTTACATACTATTATTTTCAAAAACTTTTTCAAAACTCTCCCTCCTTCTATTTTACATTTTTCTTCAAAGTAAATGCCCGGAAAAGTTTGGATGGCATGCCAAAGGGAGCACATTGGTCGGAGCAGATCAACCGCTCCTATTTTTAAACTCACAATTTTTCTTTAAATACAGGAAAAATAGCTACAGATACAAAAGTCAGCTTCAACATCGTCTGACCACTATTAAGCTCGACGAATCGCCAATAAACGGCGCCCTATCCTTCTGAAAAGATAAAAGGACCAAGCTATTTTGAGCTCGACAATCGCCAATCAATGGTACCCTACCCTTCCAATCAGACAAAAGGATCAAACTACTCCATATCAAGCCCGACAAATCAACTTTTCAACTGCACCCACTCCTTACAATAGGACGAAGGGTCAAAGCTACAATATTCTGAATTCGTCAACAAATGACACTCAATCCTTTTAAAAGGCGAAGGTTTATGCCCTCAAACAATTATCGCATGAGCCCGAAAACTATATTGTGCTCGGAGATTACATTGTGGTCAAGATTACATTTGTGCCCGATATTGCATTATGCCCGAGATCCCATTGAGCCCGATAATTGCATGTGCTCGATATTGCATGTGCCCGATATTGCATGAGCCCGAAGATTGCATTGTGCCCGATATTGCATGCGCCCAAAGATTGCATGTGGTCGAGAATCGCATTGTGCCCAATATTGCATATGCCCGAAGATTGCATTGTGCTCGATATTGCATGTGCCTGAAGATTGCATTGTGCCCGATATTGTATCTGCCCGAAGATTGCATTGTGCCCGATAATGCATGTGCCCGAAAATTACATCATTGCATGTTCTCGAGATTGCATTGTGCCCGAGAATTGCATATGCCCAAATAAATTCCAATCAAGCTACAAGTATCAACAGTTTCCCGAATTATAGATACGCTTTCTTTACTCATTACTCATATTCCTAAGGTGTCATGGTCTAAATGCATCATTTTCATGGCCTGCGGACATCATATCATGGCCTAAGGATTTACTTTCTGCTTATCATGATCCAAATGTGTCATAGTCTAAAGACATCATTTTTCATGGCCCACAGACAATATTTTCATGACCTGAGGATATAATTTTTGCGTATCATAGCCCTAGACATCATAGCCTAAGGCATCATTCTCATAGTCTTAAGGCAAACATCATGGTCGATATGGGAAATTGCATTATGATTACATTTATCGTTTGTTTGATATATTTGCCCTAATCATGTTACAAGCTACAGATTTGCAGAGACTAACATTTTGTAGATAAGACATTTTCCACCTCTCGGCTACAATTATTGTGCTTACATCTATCGAACAAAGGCCCTATCAAATTCTTTGCTACTCATATTACTGTTTTTCATCTAATCCTTGGCTACTCTTATTACCTCCTCTTCATCAGATCCTTTGCTCTTAAACCATAAATCTCTCTGTCATGCCTTCTCACTACTCTAATCCTATCCGTTCAAGCCAATATAGTTCCCGTTCGAATACCGTACCACTCTTTCAATTTTTAGGAGCTTCATTTGCTCCTAAATCTAGAACTACACACGACCTGATTCTCGTATGACAAGAGATATGTAGGCGACTTAACACCAAAGTCTCGATCGTACCCCTTTCTAACTTTATTACTTCAATTGATCCCGCTGACATCTTTCGTCGATCGGGCAAAATCGGCTACTAAGTCAACGTTGGTTGTCCGACAATTCTTCCTTCATTCTAAAACAACCAAGGGGCAGCTGTTAACACCCAATTTTGACCGACCTTTAGCAATTTTGGAAATGCTATTCGATTAAATACGTATTTTTAAAAATATGTCGAATTTAAAATTTTAATCAATTTTGTCTAAAAAATTATATATTTAGTACGTATACTTTTATAAATATTATTGTAAATACTATTAAAATATTTTAAAAAATTATTAGTATAACTTGAAATAATTCTAATGTTTTAATTATAGTATTTTGTAGTATTTCATGTGGATAGCATTCCTTCAAATTTCCTCAAAATCGTTTAAATTGTAGCCTATTTTATTCTAGTTTCTTTCAATTCTAGTCTAATCAATTCCAATCTTATTTCAATTATAGCCACCTTTCATTTCATTTTTAGCCAATTTTTTATTTCAATTTTGACCATTTCAATTCAACTCAAGACCCTTTCATTTTAATCTTGTCCATTCGTCTTCAAATTAAATCCTAGATCGAATCCTAACCCCTCATCCCTTCTAAAAGTAACGGTCAAGATCAAATCTCTAAACCTTCCTATTTTAACCTAAAAGACTCATAAACTCACTCATTCACTATTCTCTTCCTCTCTCAACAAATCAGCCGCCTCTCCCTCTCAGTTTCACCGACAATGGCGAGTCTCCTCTCCTCCAAGCGCCGCCCATCTCCCTCTTCTCCGCTCCCGTTTGTCTTATGCGAAAATAGCAACAGCCGTCAAGGAGAAGCAGCGGCTCCGGCAACAGCAGCAGCTCCGGCGATGTGTGAAACAACAGCGACCAAGCAACTCCGGTGAAGTAGCAACGCCCGGCAATATGCCGACAAGCCTCCCTCAGTTCCCCCCTCTGTTTTTTTTTTCTTTTAGGCGAGCAACACAAGGCCACCGGTGAGCAGTCAGCTCCAACCAGCGACTCCGACCAGCAGTCGTGAGCCACCAGAAGCAGTAGTAGCCGGTGAGGAAAGCAACAACCAGCAACCAGCTAGCTCTGATGACCAACAGCCGCGAGAACAGCCAGATAGAAACGCCGCCTATGCTCTCCTCTTCTTCGTTGGGTTTGAGAAAACAACGACAACAACATAGTTGCTCAGGTTTGGAATTACAGTCATGCAGTGGATTTCGGTGAAGCTTTTGAAGAGTTTGATTTGATTAAAAGATGAATCTTAACAGATCCATCCGAGTAAGTTTTCAATAAATTCTAAAGCCCATATATTTTATTCTCTTTGTTGGTTTTCAATTAAGATGAGCATGTTGAAATTTGAGTATCATATATTTTCTTTCTTTGCTTACTGTTTTAGTTCGTGTGATTATTGCATATCAGTTTATTTCTTTTTGTAAAGCGTGATTAGGTTGCAATTTACTGTTCAAGCTCTTGTTCATCGCTTCTATTATGATCTTTTTTAATTTGTGAAGTTTGCTACAATGAGTCGGTACTCAAAACTGATGGGTTGCACATTTGCTGCATTTATATAATAAAATTGTTAGTTTATGAATTTCTTTAATTAATTTCTGTATGAGAAAAATCATATTCTTTACATTAATTGATTGAGAATCATAGTTGTTCTTCCCCCAATTTAATTATCAACTCTCCTTGATTGGTGAGATGTTATTTAGTTAAAAAATATATGTTATGTGCATATTCCATCATACATGCTGCTGTAATATGAGTATAAATTTATTAATTTATTACTTTTTCTCTCATACTTAGCTAATTTAGCACCTTAATTGATTCTTAAATCCGCTAATCCAGTTAATTTACTTGTTCATAATTTACTTGCTACTATGTTGCAATTTAAACTTCCATTGATTGTTAATTGGTTTGCTAACTTTTGGAAATCTCCGCTACCTATGGTAAGTTTGAGGTGTGTATTACTTCCTTTAAAATCCTAGTGCTGATTTTTTTTTTTATGTGCAGCAAATTGATCTCTCCTTCCATTAATATTTGTCTTGACTGATTATTAATTGTTTATTTATGACAATCTAGTATTAGGTAAATATTTGACTAAGGTAATTATTGTTTTTATATGCTGGCCGGTGCTTACTTTATTATGGCAATTTTTAATTATTTCCTTGTCTTGTTTGGTTGCTCATATATTTGGTAAATAATAAATTAAATAAATATGATTTGGCTCCTTTGAAAAAGGAAAAAAATATGTTTAATTGATCTTAATATTTGTGCCCCCTAATCTGATTTCAAATGGCTTTTTTTTAAGTTATGGTAAATTCTAGCTTAATTGAATAACTGTGATTGTGGTAAATGTTTACTTTTCCTTCTGATGTTGATTTTTGTCCTTATTTAAACTTGTGCAGATTCTTATTCATTTATTTTGAGAAAAGACCTCTATTGATTTTTTATATATCCTTTTGTTTAAGAAAAATTGGCCGAGATGTGCTCTTATTAATTTATTTTCTCCCTGAATTGTGTGCCCCTCTTTGCTATATAAACGAACCCACCTCTTTCTTTTTGTCGCTCTCTGACACACATTGCTCACACCTTACTCTTGAATATTAAAAAAAAATTGCTCTACTCTTAAAAGAATTAAGATTCCGATGAACATTCTAAGTGCTTTCTCATTCCGTTTTGCT